AGAGAGAGAGAGAGAGAGAGAGAGAGAGAGAGAGAGAGAGAGAGAGAGAGAGAGAGAGAAAGAGAGAGACAACGAGGGAGAGGGAGTGTGAGCAAGCGAGAGAAAGGGGGAGAGAGAGCGCGCAAAGGGAAAAGAGAGCAAGAGCGAGAGAAAGAGAAAGAAAGAGAGAGACAACGAGGGAGAGCGAGTGTGAGCAAGCGAGAGAAAGGAGGAGAGAGAGCGCGCAAAGGGAAAAGAGAGCAAGAGCGAGAGAGAGAGAGACAAAGAGAGAGACAACGAGGGAGAGTGAGTGTGAGCAAGCGAGAGAAAGGAGGAGAGAGAGCGCGCAAAGGGAAAAGAGAGCAAGAGCGAGAGAAAGAGAAAGAAAGAGAGAGACAACGAGGGAGAGCGAGTGTGAGTGAGAGAGAAAGAGAGAGAGAGAGAGAGCGAGGGGAAGAGAGAGCGATTTTGTTGTCTATGCCTACCAATGGCTACGTGCGCACGTTGACCTATGAGTATTTGGCAGATATAGCATATTATGTTCTGTTATGATGTGGCGATACATAGCTGTAGTAAAGCAAAATAAGATTATAGGGACAAGGGAAAATAGGAACAGGGGAACATAGAGTGGATCCCTCCCAGGCGCCCGTCACCCCTAGCAGTCATATCCGACTCGGAGCAGGCGAGTTGGACGTTTTTTTGCCAAGTGGCCAATCAGAGAACAGCAATCAGGGGTGTGTCCCTCCGCCCTAGGGGGAGGGCACGTTTTTGCTTTAGGCGCCACGCTGGCGGCATGTGATACGTGCAAAAATGCCTATCCGCGTCGCCCCGCGCGTACGCTACGGGTCAAATGTTAAAACGTTTGCCGCCTCGCGGTCGATAACGTAAGAACTTTGAACATACATAGAGAGGTTGGTAGAAAGAAGAAAAATGCCAACTTGACTGCATAAAATCGTCAGTGTAAACCCAGCTTGCTCCGCACGCACGCGACATCACTTCGCGCTACAGTCATGAAACAATCGAGGGGGGGGGACCCGCTCATCAATCGACAACGCCGCTCTCCACAACGCACGTACATCGTACGTGCTAGCAGCAAGTGCAACACACGCTGGCTATCTGCAACACCCGCTTTTGATTATACATCGCCCCCTTCGTCTGTTGTACCGCCTACACTATATTCAGATTCTAAACCGTTCACTCGGTGTGCACGTATCAGGGCCGCGAGTGCCTCTGACGTAATTTTGTTGGCTCCTACGAAAGTGCATGTCGGGATACTCATACTGAGCTCCTCATTTATCCATAATACACTGCAATGGGTCTAGAGTCTGAACGCATACACAGTCTCTTTAAGACTTTGGTAGTAAATAGGCCTACATATCGTGTTTATTTACCATTATTTTATTGAGACGTTCCAAGTGCCTGTGTCTGTGATTGGGACAATGACAGAAACCTGAGGACAGACTATACAATAATACATGTGTAAAACAGTAATCCTAGTTTTATTCGACAAAGTTTAGCACCCCGAGTCCTGGTAGTAGTACTATTAGTAGTAGTACTACTACTAGTACTAGTGCTGATAGGGTCTATGTCCCCCAGGGTACTGCCGGAACGTACCCTGGTAACTATCTAGCTGATATGGTTAGGGTTAGTGTTACTGTTAGTGTTAGGGTTAGGGTTAGAGTTAGGGAGTAGGCGTAGGCAACTCCCTAGACTCGTTAGTGGAGTAGGCGAGGTACGGTCCAGCATATTACTATTAGATAGTAGTATTTAGTACCAGGGTCTGTTCCGGTATACCGGACCGTACCCAGGGGGCCTTCCGGAGTTCAAGGATAAAGAACATCATGGGTCCAAATAAAAACAATGTCATTTACATCAATATAAATATAATATTATATCAATATAATAGGTTAGGGTTATGGTTAGGGTTAGGATTAGGGTTAGGGTTAGGGTTAGGCACATTGGTTTTATTGGGACCCATGTTCTCTATCCTTGGGCCGTTAGGGCCAGGGTTAGAATTAGGGTTAGGGTTAGGCACATTGGTTTTATTGGGACCCATGTTCTCTATCCTTGGGCCCGTTCCGGCAGTAACCTGGGGGACATAGACCCTATCACTACCAGTATCACTATCAGCAGTACTACTACTACTACTAGTACCAGGAGTAAGATAATATAGGATCCTATATTATCTTACTACTGCTAGTACTAGTACTACTGTACTACTACTAGGAACTAGGTAGGCCTACAGAGGTACTATACTTCTACTTCGATACTGGACAGTCCGTGAGGAATATATTATAATTATATATTATATATAATTATACATTATCAAGAGCGTATAAAGAAGGCGTATAAAGCCTTCTTTATACGCTCTTGTCTTGACATTGTGTATGTAGCATGCACTGAAAGTGAAATCTCAGAACCTTGCTCAGAACGAAACCTACATTTTGTTTGTTTGACCTACACTGCATTTCGAGATGTTTTACGTCGGCATGTTCTCATGCTACGTAAACATGCTAGAAACTTGTAACATATCATAAAACAAATTCGACAAAACAGCTTGATAATAATATCCCTTTGACTATAAAAATAATAAATATTAGCAGATTCAATTATATCTATGATAATATCATAGAGTTGTATAATAGTACTTATATTATTATACAACTCTATGATAATATCGTATTATGATAGGTAATGTTTTAGTTTGATCGGTTTTAGACTGGTACCCGGTCCCACCTTTCGGCTTCGGTTCGGCTTCGGTTCACCCATCGAGTAATCATGTGAGTAAATCGAGTTGGGAGCGAGTACCAGTCTAGATCGGTTTTTGGATTATAGGTTGACGTAGACTGGTACCCGTTTGCCACCTTCACTCCGGCATATATCCTTCGCTACACTGACGTTAGTGTAGCGTTTGGAACTGTCAACCGGGTACCAGTCTAAGGCTGACACTTAGGGCTAACGCTGTGTGTACACATTTGGTTGCAGATTGAGTTTTTCGGTGTTATATCTGCAATATCTAGAAAAACATCTGTCTTAGTGCTAAGGTAAAACAGAAGCAATTATAACTTATTCCTGTAACAGCTCATAGCTATTCACATGTGGAAATTAGGTAAAATTTCGACTAACCTAGGCTAGGCTAGCTCTGGCCTGGGCCCTAGGCTCTAGTACTAGTAGCGGCTAGCCTGTCTAGCTATAGTAGCTCTAGTACTATAGTAGTCCGAGCCGACGCAGACCCCAGTAATGGAATAGCTAAACCCGCACCCTCAGATTAGCAAAGCGGAGTTTACGTCTGCATTGCGGACTAGTACTATAGCCGCTTACATTAACTGCCGCTGGTTACATTAAATGCCGCTGGTACATTAACTGCCCCAGCGGCAGTTAATGTAAGCGGCTATAGTACTAGAGCTAAGCCTATAGAGTATAGGCTATAGCCCGCGTTCGATTAACTGCCGCAGGGGCAGTTAATCGAACGCGGGCTATAGTACTAGAGCTAAGGCTAGGCTAGCTATAAGCTATAGGCTATAGCCTATGCTAGCCTATAGGCTATAGACTATAGTACTGCTGAGAGGGTCTATGTCCCCCAGGGTACTGCCGGAACGTACCCTGGCCTGGGTACGGTCCGGTATACCGGAACGTACCCTGGTACTATCTAATATGCCGGACCGTACGTCGCCTACTCCACTAACGAGTCTAGGGAGTCACCTACGCCTACTCCCTAACTCTAACCCGAACCCTAACCCTAACCCTAACCCTAACCCTAACCATGTCAAATAGTGACCAGGGTACGTTCTGGTATACCGGACCGTACCCAGGGTACGTTCCAGCAGTACCCTGGGGGACATAGACCCTATGAGCTATAGGCCTACTAGTACTACTACCCTGCTACTACTAGTACTAGTACTACTACTACTAGTAAAATAGTAGCTCCAAGAAACGGTATTGCTAGGGTTAGAATACCGTATAGGCAATCCGTCGCACAGCCTGGTCTAGCTCTAGTACTATAGCCCGCGTTCATTAACTGCCGCACAGGGCCTGCGGCAGTTAATGAACGCGGGCTATAGTACTAGAGCTAAGCACTGGTCGGGCTAGTAAAATAGTAGTTATGGTAGTTGCATGGTACCGTATAACCCGACGAGGCTGTGTGACTAACGTCAATATACAGTATTTTAACCATAGCAATACCGTTTCTTGGAGCTAGGTACCGTATAGATACAATGTCAATAATGTAATCCAAACACAGGATAGGGTTACAATGCGAGCGTATCCTTTTGTGTGGAGGAACCCCTGAGTGAATCACTCAGGGCAGTTTGCTGGTGCGTTTTCAGAGACTATAACTTCTAAACTGGGTTTATTCTCAACACGAACCTTTCTCCGCTATCCTGGAACTTTCTATGTATCACAATACTCTGTATTAAACTAATATGACGTGTTACAAAAATTTGAAGCGACGAGCGGCGATTCTTCCAGCGCCATTTCTGTTGACCAGTGACGTACGCATTCCCAATGCGCATAGCGTTCGGCTAACTTTGACTCCAAGATCGATTGTATCATGGGATGCCTGCTGTCAGTCGTGACGTCATGACGAAAATAGCCGAACGCTATGCTGTAGCTAAATGTTCACTTGTTCGAATTATAACTGTCCTTTGTTCTTACCTACTCCCGTGAAATCCTGCAGGAAATGTTCTCTCCGTGAAAATGTAAAAAGGACGAGATGTCTGTTTATACACAAATAATGGGGCGCATTGCATGCCGGGATGAGCGGCTGCCTGTCTCCAAGCCTCCGTTTCGAGGCCCGCCAAGCCAAGCATAATGCGCGCGGGCATGACGTCACGCACACGACTACAGTGATCGATTGAAAGTAGCGCCGTTAGGGATTTTCGGATGATATTTCTCTTTACATTTTCACGGATAGAACATTTCCTGCAAGATTTCACGAGATATCTCTGGCAGGAGTAGGTAAGAACAAAGGACAGAGTTATAATTCGAACAAGTGAACATTTAGCTACACATACAGGGTTCTGCCCACGGTGGGCGGGTGTGCCCGGCACTCGCGGTTGCTGCCCGGCACTATAAACGAGTCGGTTATCTCCGCCCAGCACTAATTTTTGTCCAGATAAAAAAAAAATTTTGATAAAAAAGTTCTGTCTCATATATGGGCTTTTTATTGCTCAGAATGCAGGAAATTGAGTTTCAGACTATCCAAAATCAAAAATTTTACAGGGGGGCATGCCCCCGGACCCCCCTAGATTGGCTTTGCGCCTACGGCGCTTGAATCTTGCGACTTCGTCGCAACTGGATGCGCCCGGCACAAAAAAATCCTGGGCAGAATCCTGACATAGATACCAAGATGGAAGCTATTGGATGTGTACTCATGCTGTGAAGGTGTGAAATGAAGTGAGCGTCGAGCGAATTTGGCGATTACGCTTTCCTACCTGCTCTCTTATTTGAACATGTTGTTTGTGCACAGGGCGTGCGTGCGGTGTACTTGTGTGTTGCAGATGAGCATTTGACCGGCATTTACGAGTAATTATCGGCAATAATAGGCGAAATAGAGTAGAGAAACATTAAAACTTTGGTAGTAAATACATTTCGTGTTTATTTACCTTTTTTTATTGAGACGTTTCAAGTGCCAGCCTGCGGCAACCGTACGCGGGCTATAGTTACTAGAGCTAACTCTAGCACGTTTTGATTAGCTGAGGCTAGTAGTAATAGTAATACTAGCTCAGCTGTACCTGTGTAAGTTGTAACCATTTGTTTACTCTGCCTCATGCAGTTCCAGTGCTGGGCGGGTGTCATTGGAGGAGTGTCACGTTATAATATGCGAAGGAGTTCTCATAGCTATATACTGTTATTGACAGTGGTAGCAGTGTGATTGTGTGTGTGTGTGTGTGTGTGTGTGTGTGTGTGTGTGTGCGTGCATGCGCGCGCATGTGTGCGTGTGTGTGTGTGTAACGCGTGCGTGCGCGCGCGCATGTGTGTGCATATGAGGTGAAAACACTTATTTTGAATACACAATTTATGAGGATGAGGTTGCGACCATAATATAAGACGAGTGTTAGAGACACACGATCACAGAGAATAAGACGCAGGAGTCTGGATTAGCGGTGACGTGAAACCCTCATTATAGCATACCAGAGCAGCTACCAAGGCTATAGGGTGTTGAGATTAATTAAGAGCTCATTCAAGTGCATGAACAGACAAGCTTCCTTATCCTATAAATGTCATTCTATGGAGCCCACCTTGAGTGGTGTGTATAGAATCAAGTCATCAGGGAAAAATCGAATCTCTAAAAAATATGTCATTCTGTCAAATTTTCTTATAGTTGTTGAGTTGACTGCATATAATTGAGTTGATAGCGCATTAGATATTGCATAATAATTTATTATTTACTGAGTAATGGTACTGAAGAGTGTAAAGTTTCATGTTACAGGCCATATGTGTGACTCTGGCATGAATTCATCAACATGTACCTTGTCCTGAAACCTGTGGCATATTCTGTCTGTGAAGCCCTTTGCTCTGCTACAAGACTATATATATACTGGAATGTATTAGTTGGCTAATAGTTGCCAGAAAACATGCTGTATTTCAGTTATATCGTATTGCTTACGTTTCCATTTTCAGGTGACAGCCTTGGTTCAGTTTCAAGCAGAGAAGGCAAGTCGAGCAGTTATGGCAACGTGTGCCGTCATTGGTGGATGTGGGTTTCTTGGAAGGCGGCTGGCAGAGATGCTCCTAGAACAGGGATACAGTGTTAATGTGTTTGACATCCAGCAGACTTTTGAGCATGAAAAAATGCGGTTTTTCAACGGAAATTTGTGTAACAAGCAGGTACAGTTATAATTATACATATCACTAAAAACGTCCGTATTCAGCCTACTGCATGTATAATATGTAGTTAGTATATCAGGGGTAGAAATTAAGTTTTGAATACGGGAGTCCAACGGACTGGACTCCCTGTCCTCAAAAAGAGGGAGTCCGCGGCAAAATGATGGAGTCCGCAGTCTGAAGTTCAAAATTAAAGATCTTAACAATAACACATGCTTATTTTGAAGATTCGTGCGGTTGCACGTCTGCCAAATTTTCTTTGGACAAAAAATTTTCTTGCTGGAAAAATACGGTAATTCCACGAGGCCGTGCTCTGGAACGAACTAGTTAGTATAGTATGGCAGAATTTTCAGGGAGTTACACGGACTCCTGCATATGTCAAATCAGAGAGTCCGACAGTAAATCAGGGAGTATTTGACTCCGGACTCCCGTTAATTTCGCACCCCAGGTGGTATATAAATGAGCTCGTAGGGTGAGAGATTGATATCAGGATAAGTTATGCAAAGTGGATTGTAATAAGTTTTTGTTATTATTATTATTATTATTATTAAATCTTTATTGCATGTAATTCAAATGTTATATCAGTTATCTTACTGTTTGTGTCAGTATTAGTTGTTTCAGTATCTCTCTTTAGCTGATATTGCAGAATTACATTTGTTAGCTTTATAGATTCATGGTTCACTAAAAAAAAGCTTGGAAGGTAAAATGAAACATTTCATTTATCTAGGTAAGCCTCATTACATTGTATTAGTGCATCCTAATTTATTAATATTTATTAATATGTTTGTTATTATTATATGACTTGATTTAGTTTTATATATATATATATATTATTTATATTATTTAGTCTTAATATGGTTTTATAGGTTCATGATAAACACATTGAATGACATGGTGATGTGGTTTATAGGATTTTTGACCAGCACATGGGAACACAGTTGTGGTGTGTGGTTAGCCTTACAGATTCATTGTTCACTTATTGAATGACATGGTGTCACGTTTGACAGGACTTGTTACCAGCACTTCGGAACACAGATGTAGTGTTTCACACAGCCTCGCCCTCGGCTGCCAGTGATAACCGGGAGCTGTTTGAGAGGGTGAATGTTGACGGGATGAGAGTAGTCATCGATGCCTGCAGAGAGGCTGGCGTGGAGGTTCGTATCATATATATAAGCCAAGCACGTTTGGGTTTTACAAGTCACAATGTGCACTTTTGTCATGATTTTACTTACATGAAGTCAGGAGTAAGATTAAAAGGGGATTATTATTATCTCTTTATTTTCACACTTTTATTATTCTACCTTTTATAACTTCTCTCACCGTCATAAGGCTCATGAAGCATAGTTAGTGATAGCACCCGATACATTCTCAGACTCTTAACCAACAAAATTTATTTAAACTAGTTAATAAACAAAAGTTTTTGTGAATTTTCGTGTACAAATTTATTCACAAAATAACTACGGACAAAGAGCTTATAATTATTATTATTATTATATTATATTATTATTATTATTATCATTATAAGCTCTGCTACGGACTATATATGCATAAGTCACAGCTGTTTGTTTGCATTGAACAAAGTGGAAAAATAGGAAATATAATACGGAGCAGTTGCAAGTAGCAAGAGCGTATGTAGTGATAGGATCGGTTCAGTTGGTGAACTTGTTCGCATGTCTTCTAAGTTATGTAATTACTCCACTGGCAGAGCTATAAATAGCATGAACTGGTGACAAATGATGTAATTCCCATTCACAGATCACTGTACATCATTACATAACAGACTGCCGAGCTGTCTCACCTTGGGAACCTTTTAGTGAGGCATACAATGAAACTCTGGCCACAAAGCCTTGCGCTAAGTAACCAAGCGTCACACAGTGCTCGGAATTCACTGGGGCACCGGCAGAGAGTCAGGATTGCCCTCCCTGACTTGCTGTAGTACCCCAGAGAACTGGCCAATATCCACAGCAAAAAGGCAGCCCTAGCTGCTATGGTTTCATGTTCTTCCTATAAACTCCATGTTGATTATGTTTCCCTTTTAATTCCACACAAATGAGTGATGTTATAAAGTAAGTTGGCTTGATAACTGTTTGTCTCCCTCATCCTATCACCTTAAGCTGTGGTGGACTAGTGGGCATAAAAATGGCTACTCTAGCCTCTAGTCTTCTTGCTGTAATTCGCTCATTATTGTAGAAACTAGTGGTCACAAGCACTGCCAGCGTGATCTACGACGGCTCGGACATCATGAATGCAACCGAAGATTCACCCTACGCCAAAAGGCCCATGGACTACTATACTGAGACCAAAATCAAGCAGGAGAAGGTTGGAACCATGTTCGCATTCAGTCAACGGCAAATTAACTCAGTAAAATGAGGTATCTGGGCATTGTAATCACAACGTTGTTCTGTTTGAGATTCCTAAATTATGTTTCCTAGCACCTAAATGAGTTAAATGACCACATGGTGTGACGATCACTGGTAGTTCAATCCAGGTGGCACCAGCTTGCCTACAATTTTGCTTTAAAATGTCATCATCTAGGTGGTCCTTGGAGCGAACTCGTCGGAGGATAACTTTTTCACAATCGCCATACGTCCACACGGTATTTTCGGCCCACGTGATCAACAAATGCTTCCAAACGTAGTGAAGGCTGCACGGGCCGGCAAGATGAAATTCATTGTTGGGTGAGACTCGTGTTTGGTATTCGCATCATTATATTAAAATAACGTGTGTCATTATCAGGTATTCATATATTCGTGAGTGTTTCACAGACTTTAAATTCACTTTTATCATGGTTAAATGTGAAGTATTTGATGTCAAATGACTTGTAATTATCGATATACCATAACCATATTGAAGACGATAAGTGAATCAGTAGCATGTATCTTCATTACACAGTTAAATTATACTGATAAATCCCTGGAGGTATTTCAGTGCGCAAAAATATGCATATTAGCATTTCATTTCTGCTATCGTGTAATAGCGTTGAATGTTCTAAATGCAGAGAAATAATATGAGTATATTCTTATGCATTCGTGTACATTCACTTTTCAGAAGTAAAAAATACTGATAGATTCGGAGGTATGTTATCGTTTGGGTTTCAATATTAAAACTTCTGTTTCAGAAATGGCATGAATCTTGTTGATCAGACCTACGTTGACAATGTTGTGCATGGGCATATTGTCGCAGCGAAGAGTTTGGGAGAAGGCTCCCACACAGCCGGGAAGGTAGATAAGCAATGTTTCTTTTTTACAATTTCACGTTGTTTACACTTACTATATACGACTCATAGCCACGTGTGTGTTTTTCTTAATTTTTAGCTGATCTTCATTTCATTGCCTTGATGCTAATATTCCCGTAGCTATATTTCTTGCTAATAATATAACAAGTAATTGATTACCTATCACGCTCTATCGTGTCACGCGGCAGAAGCCGAGTGATCATGAGCGGAGGAACCGCGAGATTAACGTTCATCGTCGTTCCACACCAGGCGTACCACATCACCAACGACAGTCCGGTGTTCTTCTGGACGTTCCTGTCGAGCCTGCTCACGGGCCTCGGCTACGCGACGCCGCACCACCACGTGCCCTACTTCATCGTGTACGTGATCGCCGTGCTGCTGGCGGCGTGCAAGCGCGTGCTGTCGCCGCTGTACGACGTCGGCGAGCTGACGTTCACGCCGTCTCGCGTCGCGCTCATCGCCACGCATCACTTCTACAGCTGCGAGGCGGCGAAGCGCGACCTCGGCTACAGGCCGCTCGTGCCGATGAACGAGGCCATCGAGCGCACACTGGAGAGCTTCACGCACTTACGCAACAACGTCGTGACGTGATCGCTTCGGGAGGAGGGAGGTTGAGTTTAGCGTACGTGTACCTGTCGCTCGCACCTCGGTGTTGACGAAGTGGGGTATTGTTAATCGTCGTGGATAGCAATAATCGGCTTTTACAGAGCAGGTAATGTGACTAGGTGGTGTGATTGAAGAATGGCTGTGATGCGCTGAGTGACTTGTAGCTATTTTTGTCGTATGTCACTTAGATGCGTTGAATCATCAGTGAGTTAGTTACGTGCAATGCAAGGGCGATCATTTTTAGATTTGGACATGGAATCATGGGCAGGCAAGTATATGGCATATATTATGGCAACAGTTATACATCAATGTAATATGTATAGATTTGCTCTTGTGCAGTCGTGATATCTAAGTCAGGTGATGCAGTATTTTTTAAAGGTAATTTGTTCAGTTTGGAATTGTTTCTAACGTTACTACAGGTTGTTTAAGTAAAAGCTGTGCAGATAAGTAAATTATATTCGTTAATAAACATGTTGGAGGGACTAATGGGCGTATGTTGTGCAGGGTATAAAATACTAGAGGAAAGTAGTGCATATGGTTTGCTTGTAGGCTTTCTAGAATAAATGTCACAGGGTAATCATTTGCCACGTATATGTCATACTATATTTTTAATTTGTATATAAATGTAATTTCTGTTTATGTATAAAAATTATATATACTTCTGATATTTTACTATATAGAATAATACAAGCAAAGAAAACTATTATGTTGGTGCTAGAAAGATATTTGCGTATCCGTATGTAGTATACCACGTCTTATCCTATCTTGATGGTAATGCCTAATGGGTGTGACCATGTTATGTGAGGAAATTTGTACCCACAATTTTTCATTTTACTAGTTAGATGACAAGTAAATCGTATAAAATGTCATTGAACAATATATTTGTTATCATAATAAAAATACACGAATGAGTGCATATTATATTATATTATAATATCTATTATGAGTGCATTTAGCATTAAAATTTGACGACCATTTTGCTGTTATGACACGCTGTTATTTTCAAATACGTTTGTTCATTCAATACACGTGTGCGTACTCCCGTTTACCCGCGCGAACGCACGCACGCATGCATGCATACACACATTCAGTGTTTGAGTGACCATGGATAAGACCCTTGCAATTTTTCATGTCTCTACCCCAAAATTGTGAACTTGAGTAGCTAGTTAGAAGCTAGCTGAAGCATGACAGCTCAGGAGGAGTCTCCCATGTGAAGCACATCTAGACTGTTCCAAAAGAGTCAAATGTGTATACAATAACGTACACACACGCTCGCGCACGAACGGACGGTCTTCCTTCCGTTTCTAACGTGAGATCTTGTGATTGTAAGCTAAATAATATTCTGACCAATGTCAAAGAATAATGTGCGAATAATTTCACTCGGTCTTGTACAGAATTAGGATGTTAAGAAGATTGAGCTCCGTCTTATTATTTCAGTGGGGCAATCGGATCCTGTTTTTAATAGAAAATTGCTCCTAAGTATGTCCTCTTATTTTTAAACAAATACTTTTAACAAAATGTCATTTCTTTTAGGAGACAGTATGCATGTTCATTAATGAATCAGCCATTTTAAAAAGAAATCATTAACAAACATTTCTTCGCTGCATGCGCGTACCCAGACCCAATGCTACAAAGCACACTAAAATTCGGTAGGACTGGCTAACGTAGCATATGCTCATATAAGCGTTTGCACAAAACCATGGTACCTGCAAAAGAGACCATGACTAGTACGTCATTGAAATTACACATTTATCTACAGACCACAGACTATGTCCCGAATGAATCTGCCATGGGGACAATAAACCCTAGAGCCTTATTCATAAATATAACTGAAGACTTTAAAGAATATTCATTAAGAGGCTATGATTTTAATAACCGTAAACGTTGACGCTGTTTTGGGGGTTTGACCCGTTTGCTTATAAACCTTCTGCATGCCAAACTTATACCCTTTTTACAAGGTTCATCACAGTCACGCAAAATTGGTGTTCCCTCTTGTTTGATGAACCCCATTCGTTGTACTATCGATCTGAGTCTGATCACTGCTTTTCTCATGTGTCGTCTTCGGAGAATCCGTTCAAGTTGAGCTTTTTTTGTTTTTGGCATTCCATATTGGAATTCTCTTCTTTCTTCTCTATTTAATGGTAAAATTTAAACGTTTTAAACTCACATACGCACACAAATACATACATGCGCATGCACGCACACATATATGTCAGGCGCGTAGCCAGGAGGGGGGGGCGGTCGCCCCCCCCAAAAAAAACGCCGGCCAAAAAAGAGAGAGAGAAGAGAAAAAAGTAAGAGGACGTAGGAAGAAAAAGGAGCATACAAAGACACATGACAAAGACTGTGTTAAAAAGATTATAAAAGAAACAACGGATATCTTTTAATTATTTAAAAATATTTTGTGAAATGAGCTTTGAGCCCAGCGCAGTTCGCCTTTCATCCAGCTCGGCATAACATATCATGCGTACCTACACAATAATATGAATATCGAGCTCTACGAATATTTTGTGTACAGCGGGTCGGGTTCTCTACGTGCTACTTGTGTATTCTTATTGTATGTCTGACCTGTCACACAGTCCTGCTAGCAATTATGGAAATCTTATGATGAAATGCTGATTGTTTGGTGATTGGTTGATTTAAATGTCAATATATTTATCACATGCATGATGCTCATTTCTGAAGATATCCTAAAAAAAATCGAAATCTTGTTTAACAATAAATCCCATATTATTTTTGAAAATTCAGGATTAAGAGTCGAGAACGGTACAACGAATCGTCTTCTTTCTCTAATAATTTAATGAAACGTCAGAGCTTCCGCGCTTCGCGTGGGAGGGGGGAGACTCCCCCCTCCCTACACCCACCCTCTAGGAAGCGCGCTCCGCGCGCTCTTTAAGTGATTCGCACACTTCACGTGCTCATTGAAAAAATAAAATCTTAGCTACGCGCCTGATATATGTAAGTACGCTTGTACGCACACACACACTGGGTCACACACACGCTTACACACATATACATATGCACACATGCGCGCGCATACACGCACATGTGTATGCACGCACATACACGCACTTGTACACCGTACACGTGTGGGTGCGCGCGCACACGCACACACAGTGACACACATACACACACCAGTAGGACATCACGAATTCACATACAGCCGCGCCGCGCGGCGCAACAACACACACAAACACACCACAACACAAATACACACAACACACACACACACACACACACAACACACACACACACACACACACACACACACACACACACACACACCACACAAGGGATTGCGACCTATAGGTGGTCGGATAATGGCAATGCTGGAGGAATATAACTCTTCTGGTGATATATTGAGCATGCGCAAAACCACTAACGTAGCCAGATTGCATAGGGACTACTGCATTGCCTACTGACTGGTATATTTAGAGGGCACCATAAATACAATGTATTTTTTTTTTATCCTTAAAAGGTCCCTTCTTAAAAGAGCTAGGTCTACTGATGGAATTTTATCATATCAACATATGCTAGAATTATTATTCTACATCTTATTTATCTCCTCCACATTTGTAAATGCTTGGTTTTCGCGAAATATTATTGTTCTCGGAGATGTATGCGCGAGCACCGTTTCGGGCATGCAGTACGGACCGAAGAAAATTGCATAATAGCTTACTGCAAGAGAGAGAGAGAGAGAGAGAGAGAGAGAGAGAGAGAGAGAGAGAGCGAAAGGTGGGAGACTGAAAAAAACGGCATGGAAGATAGCCGAGGGCGGTGGAAGAAGACTGAGGCTGAACGAGGGACAAGGGAAGCAAGTGGAAGGGCGTAAGGGGATGAAGTACGAGTTTTGTACCCTACTGGCTAGGGCGCTCTCCTAATTATAAACACAGGTGTACTGATAAAGATTTATTACAGAAATCTATGCTGAGATACCCCCTAACCATATTAAACGCATATTCATCACAAAATCTAACTCCACTGGTGAGATATTGTATTGTGCATGCGCTAACACACTGACGTAGACAGATTTTGTACTGACTGGTATATGCAGCGAGGACCTTATATGCAATGTGTTGCCCCTATTTCTTAAGTGAAGTCTACTGATGGAATGTTATCATATAAATCTATGCTAGGATAACCCCTCTTCATTTTAAATGCATAATTATTGCAAAATATTATTATTCTTGGGAGATATTGAGCATGCGCGAGCACAGTTTGAGGCGTGCCGTACCGACTGAAGAAAACTTCATAATATAGCTTGCTGAGGGAGAGGGGTGGACGACTGAGGAAAGGAAGTAGGGAAGATAGCTGGGGCGGTAGAAGAAGAAGGAGGCTGAGCGAGGAACAGGGGAGGCAAAGGAGATATTGAGCATGCGCGAGCACAGTTTGAGGCGTGCCGTATGCACCAGAACACCCCCCCCCCACCGGAGCAGTAATGTGTTATACCAGGGCCGTAGGCTGATCAAATTCCTAGAGGAGGAGGCAAAATTTCATGACTCAACTGTGTAACGATGAGCGACCGGCGCAGCTATTGATCGACGTCCATAGTGTGGTAGGGGTGGTTCTGAGAAAAGGCTTTCACGGCATCAAAAATCACGTTACTGTTATTTACGATTATTTGTTCAGCTTTTTTTAAATTTTGCTTCGAAATCTAGGGGCAGTTGCCTCCTTGCCCCCCCCCACAGGCTACGGCCCTGTATATTATTCCTACAGCCGTCTCCAGGTAGTACTTGGACAGGTAGTATCCAAGTATTCCTATAGTGTGAATTTATAGTATGTGTTAAACTTGGCCGTCCTCTTTACCACGCGAAGCATGGCGGAGTGGGCCCCACACCACGTTGCGAGCGTAATCGAGCGTACAAGGCTCGTCCATTGCATACTTTAGCCTTTGTTATGTTTTTGAACGATCGCAGTGAAATGGTCTTTATATAGCCGTTTTTCCAATTAAATCTTCGGCGCTACAGTACGACGTAGAATTTGCTGCTGAGCTTGACTGGATTACAATTTGCAGTGATAATTAGAAATAGTTATAATACGAGTGCAAACGTGGTGAATGTGCTAAAATTATATTGACGTAGTCGTGGTGATCGTGCGTTTCTAGTAAATAACGTTTTTCGCACATGTTTATGGATACCCGTTAATTTGATCGTCTTATTATATTATATGTTTGAATTGTTTCATGCTGGCACTATTGGACTCACTACGACGAATTTATGCTGGAATACAACACGACTGGTTTTGTACAATTTTGTAGTATAAAACTACATTGAGTAATAAATTAGAGCTTATTTTACAATAGAAACGCACTTCCAACGAAGTTTGGTTGTTTGGATCATTGAACACTGAACACCGCTGCAGGTTGCATTAATTTCGCAATAATGCTAAGATACAATTATTAAGGCAGCAATAAAATTAGGCTTTATTCAAAATAGACGAAGTAGGTATACATGTGCTAAAACGGTGTACGTAAACATTTACTTGCGGCGATATTCGTTATAGTTATTCCATACTTAATTAAATAGAATTAAGCGACAGTTTAGATGATTATTCTTACTAGATATTGACAATAGTGCTTTACATAGATAAAATGAGAGAGAAGATCTCTCTCTCTCTCTCTCTCTCTCTCTCTCTCTCTCTCTCTCTCTCTCTCTCTCTCTCTCTCTCTCTCTCTCTCTCTCTCTCTCTCTC